CTAACATGCCTTATATCAGTGAAATGTTTAGGAGAAGGCACTTTGGGAAGCATCAGGATATTTTTAAAAGGCCTTATATCAGTGTGGTTTGGGATTAAAAGGCCCTTTACCACACAACTTGAATCAGTTGTCAAAACAAGGAGGGCAATTCTACTATGGTAAGTAAATCATCACACAGAATCGTTTATTCTAGTGATAATTTTCAGAGGGATGCAACTGTTAACTTTCAACGCATTTGTGATTTAGAATGCAAACTGGAACAAAAGGAAAACATTGAACTCGAACCCAAGAAGAAGTCTTTAGCCAAAAAGGTCACTGGTTTTCAGGTATTTCTCTTTTCTAAATTTACTATTCTCAGGCTGCAATCTTGAGTTGCAGGAGATCTATATCTAAAAGCTGAACTTGTTCATGTCCAGTGGTAAAATCTTGAGGGAAAAGTTATAAATACACTTACAAGTCTCTTGCGATGCTCCCCAACACTGATAGAGCAACCTGTATGAGTCCCAGTGGCAATTTCGCTCCCACCACAATGATTTTTTGCATTTATTTCTGACTTTTCAACACACTTAGGATCTTTCCAAAGTCTCAACCAACTTTCCCACACATTATTTGGAATAGTTTCCGGTTGCACCATATTTGCTTTTAGTTTGCTAACAAAATCACTGTATCTTCTTGCTGCCCTACGCTCCCATTGGATCTGCACCGCACTATCAATTGAAGAATCCTAGTAGAAAGCCTTCTGAAATAATTTTATGAAGTAATAACATTAATAAGTTACATATAAAAGTTAATATACTTTCAAAATCTAATTGTGATGGATTATACCTTGAATTCTCCAAAATAAATTTTTTTTTAACTCATTTGAGACGTTTTTCTAGTTGAATCCATTAGGATCAAGTTCATTATTGAAAGACTTAGTTATAAACTCAGAGCATTCATATGAAGGCTCCAACCTGAACAAATTAGAAGACATTATTTAAAGGAATACCATGTACCAATAATAATATACTAAAAGTAATAGTACAAGTATGGACTAACCCTGTAGGAGAAATAGTAAGAAGCGTTCGCGGTCGGCGGGTACTGCTACACTCAGTTTCGCCTATTATGTTGCTTTGAGAAGATGTACCCTCACCTATTGTGTTGCTCTGATTAGGGGTATTTGGTGGTGGTTCCAAATTAATAGTTGGGGTACTACCATGGTCTGATGTTTGAATAGGTGGTGTACTACTAGGACCTAATGTTTGAACTTGATTGATGTGAACCGGTCCACCTGAGGAACTCGTACCACCTTGTTGAGGATTGATTGTGGGAATGGGAACAGTAGGCATATTATCACGAGTAGAGAAATTACCCCTAACTGAAGATTTACCTACACGACCTGCGCTACCTCGACCTCTACCTCGAGGCATATTTCCAATTGCTTCTTTTTTTGGCCTGCAATGGGCTGCTCCAACTTAACCTGAGCAGTATAGTCTCTGAAAATTCAAGCAAGCAGAAGCTAAGTTAGTATGAAAGTTTATAAAATTCAAACAAGCAGAAGCTAAGTTACAGAAGCTAAGTTACATAAGCTAAGTTACTGAAAATTCAAACAAGCAGAAGCTAAGTTACTGAAAATTCAAACAAGCAGAAGCAAAGTTACAGAAGCTAAGCTAGTATGAAAGCTTATAAAATTCAATAGAATGCGGAGAGATACATGGTGACTAACTACATGCTACAAACGTGGTATTCGATTCACAACACAACGTAAGCTAGAAGTGTACTATACCATTTAGATTACTACAAATGTGGTATTCGATTCGATTCTCTATAGATCATACTACAAAATAGATACATGACTTATAACATACCACACAGATTACTAGAAAAACAAAATTCAATAAAAATATAGTAGTGCATTATCAACACAGTAGTCATCATCTGTTTCTTCTTCAAACTCTTCCTCATCATCCTCCTCATTTTCATCCTCAGTTTCATACTCGTCTTCTGAAGATTCTTCTTCGAACTCTTGATTCTCTATCAATAGTCCATCATTAATGGGTTCAACCATTTCAATTACATCCCCATTTGGATCATGTAAGATTATATTCTCATCAGTGGTGAAATTCATATCTATCAAATGGACTTCAACTTCTTCAACTTGGAATGGAAGAGTCGGTTCTGGAGTTGATGTTATTGCCTCATCAGGAAGTTCAATAACATCCCGAGGTTTAACTTTCAAAACAGCTACCCAATCATCCTTGTCCTTTTTCGTGCTAGGATAAGGCACATAACACACTTGAGTTGCTTGCATCGCAAGAATAAAAGGTTCGTACTTGTTAAAACGACGGCGATGGTTCACATCGACTAGTTTGTATTGGTTATGCTCTTTGACACCAACATTCACAGTTGGATCAAACCATTCACACTTGAATAACACAGTTTGCTTTAAAGGTTCTTTGCGGTATTCCAATTGTATAATCTCTTGTATCCGTCCATAATAGTCACCAACATTTGGATCCGAGATACAAACTCCACTATTAATTGTTGATCTTGCACTACCATGACATTCCGTGTGAAATTTGTATCCATTAACAAAATACACCGGATAACATTTTGCGCTTATTAATGGTCCATGAGCAAGACTACACAAGAATTGGTTCTCAATGTGGTTGCATCGAACCTATTTCAAAAAAATTATAAGACTTGGTTAAATATAACAAGCCAATTTAAGTACATAATTGCTTAAAAGATAATTATTTTTATAGTCTTACATATTCCTTGAACCATATAGCAAAACACGTTTCGAGACTCTCATTTATTTGATCCTGAGATAGGTTGGGTAATTCTTCTTGCAACCGTTGTATGTACATACTTCATTGCAACAAAATAANATAAGGAAAGTGGTCCTAGGTTTATAAATCACATAGATCATCCACACAACACCGAAAATCCATCGTACGCGTAGTGTTATCGTGTGATCATCATCTCCATGTCTACCCTTCCCACCCCGTTAAGGTATTAAGCGCGAAATAGTCTCGTTTACTTATTGCATGCTATTACCCGTCCCACCTATCAGTCCTGGAGGCTTTTAGGACTACTATTCCTAAAGGGAGGAAGCTTGGCTTTTCAGAGGTTTAAAAAGGTTAAAATACTAAGGCGTCAAGCAAACATATGAAAGCAGTTATGGGAGCACAAAACAATTAAGGCTCAGATAAACCTCCTTTAATCACAGAAAATCATGTAGTTTAGCATGTCTTACATGTACTGATTAGGTCGAAATTATACTTAACGTTAGGCAGGCTGGTTCATTACATATTTTCAGGCAAGAAGTTCGCATTAGGCTCGCCTGGCTGCAATTATCGAAGACTAGTGCAATTAATTAACTACATACTTGTTTGCCTACGTGATGACCTTTAGGCATGGCATCTACTGGTTTCAGGAATAAAGAAACAAACTGATTAAGAAAATTGCAAGTTTTAAAAAAGAATGGTGCGAGTTCTGTAATTAGTGCTAATCTTAAAACGAGTGATTCAGATTTGATTGATAGTTCCTATAGGCATGCTTTCTCGCGTCGTTAATTTAAACACCTTTTTACAGGCATAGCAAGAGTGCAGAAATCCTATAGGCATGATATCTGAATACTGTTAGTTTTTAATCCTATAAATAGGTTTGCCTAGTGACCAATGCATGCGTAGAGTCTGGATTTCTGGTTACTTATAGGCGTGGTATCCATATGGAGATGCAAAATTCATATAGACATGGTATCTATATGGATGCATAAACCTATTGACATGGTATCTATATGTGCAGAAGTGCAGAAACCCTATGGACATGATAGAAGTGCAGAAACCTTATAGACATGATATCTATGTGGATGCATAAACCTATAGACATGGTATCTACATGTGAATGCATAAACCTATAGACATGGTATCTACATGTGATATGCAAATGTGAGAAGCTGTAGGCAAGATACATGAGTACAGAAGTGTGGTGATTCCCTATGAGCATGATATCTACCCATTTGCATGCATGATTACCCTTCCCTTTTCACTAATCACCCCAGAGGTCATTACAAAATTTTATTACAGACCAAGATGAATCGAAAACGGGAAATAAAATTACAATCAGAACTCTTAAGCTGCATCCAAGGAGCCTAATTCAAACCCAATGTCTAACAATATGATATGAGCCAACTGCAAGGATCAGGTTCCAAAGCCTTTCTCTTATCCGGGATGTGTCAAAGCTCCAAGGAGTTTCAAGAACTCCAGGCAATGCTCACATCAAGATATCATTACAGAACTGAGTTAAAGTGCAGTGTGGAAGGGCCAGCCCTCCAATGTCCAAGTTCAGAGGGAGCTCAAGGTCCCAAGGCAAGGCTCATTGGAGGGGGGCAGAACTTAGAGTCTAGGAAGAAGTGTAAGTGCAATAGAGGGATATAAGGGATGCCAAGGCAGGCTGGTGGTCATGCCCAGCAACATAAAATGCTGGCACACCCCTGACCAGCCCACTAGCCAAACATGGGAGAGTCCAGGACCTATTGAAGGTCAAACCATAGCCTGGGCAGTAATTGGGATACTGTCAGGCCAAGGTTTCAACTCAACACATAAAGGGGGTTAGGGGTAGGGATTCATATGAAAGCAGAAGCAAAGAAAGAAAAATACTCAGCATAAGCTACGCAGCATGAGCAACAAACCACACAGAAGAATGAAACTATAGAATAAACATATAGGGATGGGGCAAAAGTTTAAATGAAAGGGCATACCAGTTTTCAGAAACAAGCAAGTAAGGAGAAGCTGTAGACTCAGGGAAGCCAAGTTGAAAAATTGTGTCATGTATTTATAATGCAGAAGAGAAGCAGAAATAGGTAAGAAAATAGTTTGAAAATCAACCACACAAGGTTTCCCTTTAATTAAGGGATTCTGATTTCAAACGGGCAAGGTAAATAAGGAAAGGAGTTAATTAAACACTTTTCAAAGTAATGCAAGAAGGGTAAATACATAATAGTTATTTAAGGAAAGGCTTTTGACAGTACACGGTCATGCAAATTAAGGAAAGGAAATCAGTTGACAGCCAAGCAATCAAGGATCGAAAATTTTATGTGAATGAACCAAGTCAGAAAAAGGTGAAGGGAGGCTTCACCTAAGAAGAATCAGTAGCAATCAATTAACCCCCAAAAAAAGGATTCTGATTCGAACACAAATTGGAAAACCTTTTCAAGAAAGATTTTAACACATATAAAAGGGGTTGTCATGCTAATCAGAAGAGTTCATACACAAAAGGATTCAAACTTATTATATGGATCCAAAGTGAATTTGAGAGAGTCCAAGGCTCGAATGGAACCCTAGTCCAAACATACAAGACCACACTCGTCAAAAAACCCCAAATCCTAGGGTTTTTGACTTGAACCAAATGCAAAGAAGAGAAACAAGCAGATGCAGTAGAAAGTTTAATGTAAAATAGAGTAAGGGAATTAATTTGAAACACAATGAGAGTAGAAGAGACAGTAGAGGCAAATATGCTTAAGCATGCATAGTAGGAACACTTAATGAACATGGTTGAAAAAAATGCAGTAGACGAATCATATCAAGTCATAGTGGAAGGCAAGTAGCAGAACATAGCATGTGAGACATAGCATGAAAATATGGCATATAAACATAGCATGTGGAAACATAGTAGAGAGAAGAACAAAATACAGAAAACATGGTAGAAGAACATGTATATATGAAAACACATAAGAAAGGAAGAAGAAAAGTCGGAAAACACCGAAGCATTTTTGGAAAGCCGTAAACCAGGAAAGAGGCGACTTTGAAAGTAAGATTTTAAAAAGAAAAATTGGGGAAACCGCTTGAAAACTCAAGATAAAGCATGAATACACACAGATCTGGAGATAACCGGAGAAGAACCTCGATAGTTAGGGTTTTCAGATGAACCCTAGAATGAGAAAGGCTTCGAAAACGTCCGATCTAAGTCGGATGAGACTGGAAACAGGCTCAGGAGGCTAAGATGTGCCGGAGCCAGGCCGGAGATGGTCGGGAACCTCAAGTCGGCGGAGGTCTGGGTGGAGACCTTTGAGCTCTAGCCTCGAACCTTCGAGTACCAAGCACATATGAGCGATAAGAGGTGAGCATAGATCATCCATGGCCTGAGAGGCCATGGGTTCTGGTGAGTTAGAGGTCGAAAATGGGGGGAAGGTGATCAGGGTTTCAAGAACACTCGAGAGAGTTTGAGAGGGGGAGGGTGTTCAGGGGCGGCTACTGAAATGAAAATGAGGGAATTAGGGTTAGTCATTAGGTTTAATTAAGGAAGGGCGAATTGAGGCCATTGATCTCAAAGATCAACGGTTCAAATCAAAGGGGGCTTGGGTCGGGCTGGTTTAAACCGGTTATTGGGCCATTTGGGTTTAATTAAAAATTTGATGGGGATGGGGCCAAATTGGCTATAATTGAAATAATAAGGGCTGTTTGTTAAATAGGCAATTTTCCCCTTTTATTATTTTATAAAAATAGTAAGAAATGATTTAAAAATAAATTACAGGTACTGAACTAATTAATAACATATAAATATTAATGTAAAAATACTAAAAATGATTTTATGATTGTGAAATGTCGTTAATTGTAAAATAGGCCATAATTGCAATTGTATGCAATTTAGCTAAAAATATACCAAACAAATGTATAAAAATACGCAAAAATTACCTTAATTATATCTTAGTGTAAATATGAGAATGAAATAAATTATTTACCAAAATGCCAGTTTGGGAATAATTATTGAATTTTGTACTATTAAAATAGACAACAAATTGATTTTAAGATCTTTAAAAATAAGGGAAAAATACCAAAACTCTTGGGCATGCTTATATATGCATGTACATACTATTTTGAGAATATTTTGAGTATATATAAATACATAGGGAAAAATTGAGTATCAACAGCTGCCCCTCTTTACCCGAGAAGGATGAAAGAGTTGTCGGGTAAAGATATGATGACCAATTTTGACCGACAGAGACGATTTACAAAGGTTTTGACCGAGCTCTGGTTTTTGAGCTGCCTACGTATCCCTGGTCTTTCAGGAATCAGGTCATATGTAGTTCAGGATACATCGACGGAGTATGCCGATGGAGGTTTTTGAAAAGGACGGATGCAATATTTAGGTTGGGAAGGATACTGATGGGCTGCGAGAACCGGAGCGAGATCGCTCCTGCAGCAATGGCCGTTGCCAGCTGATGTACCTGCAAGTGAGTAATACAAACATATCGTGCAGAATTTAAACGTGATGCAAGTTCCCGTTGGACCATGAATTTTGTCTTTGGACGGATAGGATGACGTCCTCAGACCATGATGTCCTGGGCCATGAAGCGCATAATAAAGGATTCGCAGGCTATGAAATGATGTTCTCGGGCTATGATAATGGTGCCTCCAAACCATGATGCCATTGAATAATGATGTGCAGAATATAAAGCGGGGTCCTCGGGCCATGGCATGGCGTTCTCGGGCTATGAAAATGGTGCCTCCGAAAAATGATGCCTTGGAGAATTTGGCGATATTTCAGCCCATGAAATGCAGGTTTTGGCGATATTTCAGCTGATGTAAGGCATAAATGGCGATATTTCAGCCGACAAGGATAAAAATAAAGTTGGCGATATTTCAGCCGATAATGATTAAATATATACTGGCGATCTTTCAGACGACATAGAGATTTAAATGCAGTTGGCGATATTTTCGCCGATGAAAAACATAAATGGCGGTATTTCAGCCGATGTAAAGATTTAAATAGAGTTGGCGATCTTTCAGCCGACAATTATTAAATATAAACTGGCGATCTTTCAACCGATGTAAAGATTTAAATAGAGTTGGCGATCTTTCAGCCG